GATATTAACATTTTCATCAAAACAGTAACCTTGCAGTCTGACCTTGCAAATGATTATTATTGAAACATCTCCAATGTCTTAATTCTAATGGTAAAGGGGCCGCTATTGGTCAGATGTTTAATTTACAAGTCACTGACTGAACACTTGAGGGACGTCCCATCACCAAAGCTTGTCTAAATGCATTACAGACCTCTAAGACTGACCTCATTTCCTGTGAGAGTACTGAGGACGGCAAACATCAGACAGACAGGGAGAGTAAGATGTCCACATGATAATAAAGCCTGAGGCTGATTGTCAAAGGGAATAAGGTCTCTGCTATCAGCTGCTAAATGACCAACCATTCACTGAACTAACTTGATTTGACCTGGAAAAAAGTTTCAAGGATCAAAACCTTCAGCTAAGAGCCTTGAAATCTCTTCAACTTCTGATGATGAGCCGGTTACAGACTGAGCTTCAAATGTCTGCAGAGTCAATTAATAACACAGGGAGGATTGATTTAAAACAGGATTATCTGTGACATTACCTGAGTGACCCACTCATCCTGACAACTTCAAAACCACAAAAAAGTGAGGGACTCTTTCATCATTAGACTTGTTTTCACTGAGGTCCAGTTTTCTTTTAGAGACGTTTCTGTAAATCTACACAAAGACAGAGATGTTGAGTTTATTTTCTTCTTGAGTGTCTGTTTTTAAACCTGTGTGATGGATGATCCTGAGAGTAAATACAAACTTCTGATCACAGCAGACACTCTTTTAGTTCAGAGTCCTCACTGAAAGCAGCATTCCAACAGTCTGCTGTGGTGTTTCTGTTGCTCATTGATGTTCTCCTCTAATTCATTCCTGCAGCTCAATTCACTGTTCGATCTTTCAGATCTAAAGGCAAAGTAATCTGCACAACACTAATGATAATTCAATCCTGGAGGCAGAGACAGAGAGGGATCTATCTGCTACAATATGTTGGAGTTCAGGTCTAAAGAAAGCTTTAATGAAGCAGAGAGACCTGAATGAGGAACGAGGCCAGCCTGACCCTCCTGGACCAGGAGATGAGGAAGAGGAGGATGATGATAAAGAAAAAGGAAAACACTCCGAACACTGAGGCAGACATTACAGAGTGAATCTTCTTAAAAGCTGCTTCTCAGGAAGGTTTGTGTGTTTTGTGCTGGCCTGCATGAGCTCCATCAGTGTCCTTAAACAGAAGGTCACGTTAATTTAACAGAAAGTGTCCTGATAGACCCACTGCTGCTCAGGCTACAGTTATTCTTCCTCCTTCATTCACTGATACCCACAACAGAGAAACAGACAGAGTGGTTCTTGTTTCATTCATGGTCAGTGTGCTTTTCTGTCTCCTTTCAGTACTGCCTCACAGGAAAAATAAAAACACAAAACATCCACCAGACTGCTCTACAGTGTTCAAAGATACTGCTCAGTGTGTTTATCAATACTTAATAAAATCCAGCAAGAACAACACTGAATGGGAAAATAGATAGATAGATAGATAGATAGATAGATAGATAGATAGATAGATAGATAGATAGATAGATAGATAGATAGATAGATAGATAGATAGATAGATAGATAGATAGATAGATAGATAGATAGTATTGCAGTATCTAGTGTTTTGATGTATAATTAATGATGTTTTGTTGAAGTCCTTAGCCCACAAAGAGGATGTCTGGCAGCACTGCAGGATAAATAGGCTGTGCTGTCAAATTTATTATTATTTTTTTTTTGTTTGTTTTTTCACTGAATGTAAATCAACGTACAAATGAAACTCCTTGATTTATATATTTTCCCCAGGAAAACTAACACATGTAAGTTGTTTAAACAACCAGTTGGCCAGAAACAATGACATACATATTCTTCTTAATTTCATGTTGAAATACGTTTTTAAATCTGCCATCAGTTTGTTAAAATAGAGATCTTAGATGATGTTCAGGCTCTGCTTCTGAGATTATACATGAAGCAGCAATACTTTAAACACTCACAGCCACAGAGTCAAACCTAACATCCTGAGAGGTGTGATCGCACTCCACAGGTTTCCAGCTGTCAGTGTGTGACAGCCTGAACACATGCAGAGTGATATCTACAGATATCTGGAGATTAAGACTAATTCTGCATCACTTGCGTTCTAATGCAAATCTCTGAAGCTCTCTTAGTGCACTTAACATGAGCAGAAAACAATGTTTGCAGTTGTAGAAATCCCAAAATTGCAATACCGTCGGAGGAATTTCTACTTCACCTTATTTTCTGATGCAAATTACTCCAAGCAGTGGGGCTCTGTTTGCTCTGTTGTTCATTTTTCAAGGCTTCTTCTTGCCTCCAGAGCTCATTGACTAAAACCAAGGCCTCTCTCTCTGGAAGCTTGAAGCAACAATAAATAACAAGCAGGAGGCTCACGGAGCAGTTTGCTTGATGCCTCTCAAATAAATGTGGTGCTTAAAATGAAGGGGGGAGAAGTGAATAGAGGTAAAGTCTTGAACAGGAACAGTGGTATTACAGAAGTTATTAGAAATCCTCCAGTGAGCTCCACTCTGTATAGTCACATTTTGGTTATGCCCCGCAACACCCCAGCAGGCTTCACACAATGCATATTAAGTTCACTTCTAAAGAGGAGGAGGAGGAGAGAGGATGTTTTGATGTGTTTGGGGCTCAGCCAGGCTGTGAACAGAAGCTGTGAGCTGCTCTGCGCCTCTATCCCGCCTCTATACACTACCTGACCTCAAGGTTATGTAACAACAAAAAGGTTTGTTGTCATGTTATTACATTCAAAAGTTTATTTCAAATCTTTCATCCTTTGATTTTTAAAAAAACTCTTTTGCATCTCTGCAGCAGAAAGGTCAAATCTGACAAAACTTTCTGCTCAACTCTCTGGAAGATTTTTTTTTTTTTTTACTACAGCTCAACCTCTGAAACTTAAGTCAGGCTCCAGTCATCCTAACTGAGAAATGACTGTCTGCCTGCACATGGACTCATGGACTGGCACTTCACTTAAATTGTTGTAGTGTTGCACAGTGTTAAGAGTTTTCTACATGATCAGTACTTTCTTGATGTTCAACTGTTTAGCATGGCTCTGGTAGAAATGACCAAGAAAGCAGCCCTTTCTGGACTTGAGAGGCTTTTAAATTTATACAGCATGAGCCTCTGCTTTCATTCACTGTATGCACACTATGGGCTCTATTTTCGTGCTTCCCCGGAGACGTGGCGTAGGCACAACATGTCCAGGTCTGGCTGCGTGAGAAACAAGAGGAAGAGGAAAAAAGAAAAGGAGGGAGATGAATTACATATCTTGTTAACTTCAGCATGTGTGTCTATTTACTCGATATTTAATTTAATGTAATGCGGTTTCAGCTGTGTTAATTTGGTCAGGTTGTGTGTCCAGACGCATGCCAAACGCGCTCATCAGATCAGATATAGATCAGAATATATCAATATAGATCTAAATGTATGTGCTGACTCAGATTATTAGTTGTTGATGATATTTATTGCACTGAAATGTGCCTGACACTGTGGAAACCTGCCAGTGAGGCATCGGTGACGTATGCCGATATGCCGCTGGTCTACCAAAATACCACTAGACCAGCTGTGCTCCGCCTGCGCTGAAAGTTGACCAGGTTTGGATTGGCGAGCTTTCAGCACACTGTATACGTCACCGGTGAGCATGAAAATGTCACTGCGCCAGCTGATTCTGTCGACACCTCCCTCTGCCACACCACCACGCCCAGCTTGGCGGACCACGGTGAGCCCCAGTCCACGAAAATACCAAACTGGCTGTACGCCGGGCTCAGCCAGACAAAAATACCGCTGCACAGGGTCTACCACCCTCCGCCGCCTCACTGGTGGACACGAAAATAGAGCCCAATATGCTGATTAAGGTCCAAATTCTGATTGAGGCAATACTCTGAGTCAGGTGTGATAAAGACCGTTGAGCGACAGGAAAATTCTTGTTTACAAGCTAATGGAATATTCTGAATAAACAAGTAACATACAGTTGTGGTAGCCACACTGTCATAATATTATATACTGTTCCTTCCCTGTAGTAGTGTGTGTGTGTGTGTGTGTGTGTGTGTGTGTGTGTGTGTGTGTGTGTGTGTGTGTGTGTGTGCTGTGTCCACAAAACACTACCTTGAGTACTATACAATGTGTTTTTCTTAGCAGTTATACGCCATAATTTCATGAGAACCCACACTCTCATACCTATCCTCTACAGTGGCAGAGAACGTGTGACAATGGTTAGCTTATTATGGTATGTTATTCTGTTATGTTATGTAGTTTTTTTTGTTGATGATTTAATTTATGTTAATTTTTTTTCATGCCAAACCAAACAAGCACATTTTCTTTTAAACTGAAGATTCCTGATCATGATCTCGACGGAGTCAGAGTAATCGGGTTAGGGCGTTGAGATTGTACTTACCAACTCATAATATTTCAATTATTCTTGTTAATAACATTTATTTTTTTCTGTGTCATTTTGCAATAACTGTTATCTCAAGACATTTAACAAAAAGAACTGGGGCCTCATGTATCAACACTTGCGTGGAACTCATACCAGAAACGAGCGCCCGCAAGGTCCGTCACGCTGAAAAAAATCCGTATGTATCAATGTGAGCGGGCGCCGAAATCCACGTGTGTTTCCTTGATAAATCCCAATCAGCGTGGAATTGAGCGCAGATGTCGGAGTGACTGGGCCCGTCCCCGTTACGCCCTCCTATAAATATGCAGATTTATTTAAATAGGGTCTCCCTGTCCTCGCACGCAGACAAAATGACAAGAAAAACTAAATTTACGGCGTGCGAGGTGGAGGTGCTGGTGGCGGAGGTGGAGGAGCAACAGCGTGTTTTGTTTGGCAGCCTGTCCAGTGGCGTCAGTGCAAAACAAAAACGCTTGGAATGGGAGAAAGTTTGCGAGAGGGTGAATGCGGTGGGTTCCGAGACATGCACCCCCGCGACGATTAAAAAAAAGTGGTCGGACCTCAAGGTGGAGGTCAAGCGGCGTACAGCTGCCCTCCGGAGGAGTACTGGCCAGACAGGTGGGGGTCCGGGGGAGGAGACCCTCACACCGTTTGAGCAGCGAGTGGTGGCGATTATTATTATAGGGTAAGTGGCGTGTCACACAAATGTCCACATGCTTTGTCATCCCACTGAGCAAAAGACGTATATTAGACGTCTAGTCTAAGTTTATACTTCATTTCAACGTCGGGATTCAGTCTATTTTTAGACGTGATTTATACTTTGCCCTTAACTTCATTTTTCGATAACTTTTTATGCAATAAACAACTGTAATGTGCATAACTGACCTCTAAATACTGGATTACATTACCTATGATACCGTGGAGAGAGATGTAAACGCAACAGATACACAGAAGCAGGAATTGAAATGAACAAATATTTTTATTGTGTCACAGAAATCAATGTGTCGGCCGTGTCGCCGGCTTGCGGAACCCCGGCCCACGGCAGCCCGTCCGCCGGCTCGGAGTCGTCGGCCAGGACCAGCGGCATTCGGGCCACCCCGGCCCCCGGCCCCAGCACCAGCATCAGCACCAGCGTGCCGACAAGCGGTGGAGCGTCCACCAGCCGCGGCGCTTCCGCTGGACCACCCGGACGCAGTGGAAGGGTCCTCGCGGAGGGGGTCCTGCAATCGCAGGAAGAAATCATCAGGGGGGTCGCGGGGATCAACGAGCGGCTGGACCGGCTCGTAAATGTCCTCGAGCGTCTGGTGGAGAAAATAAATTAATTTGGCTCATTGAACTGTGTATTCACTTCTTACCCATTCACACTGTGGCGATGAGATTCTCCCGCGTGAGGACGGCGGCCCAGCAGGGATCAGCTCGCATCCCTCCGTCTGCTGCTGGTTCGTCATGTGGGGCGACGTGCTGCTCGGCCACGGGGATGTGGTGCACGCTTGTCACATAGTGAGTCACCAAACACCGCCACACAGCGTCGCCAAAGTGCGAATCACAGTCAACGCAAGTATCTGCTCAACGCCAATTTCTACACCACCTCCTGACTTTGCGTTGATTAGCGCTGGAACCCACGCTCGTTTCGCGATGATAAATCTGGACGTGTGCGCCGATTTTGGCGTACGCAAGGTTTTCTTGCACCGCAAGCGTTGATACATGGGGCCCCTGGTCTAGACCTTCTTCATTGTACAAACTGTATTTTCAAAAACATTAATCTATCTGTTGTGCATGTAAACATATGTGTGGACTGATGAGCACAGTGCAGAGAAAGAAAAGAGAAGAAAAAAAAAGTTCAGATATGGAGACAAACTGTTATTTTGGTTGAATTTGAATCAAGAAAACATTTTGCATTTTCTCCTGTGAGTGGTGGTGTGACACTCGCCAGTAGACCGAGACCTTGCTGGTTGCGGTTTTGAAAAACTGCATGGTGTGGGTGATTGAAGCAAAAAGTTACAGCTTCAGGTAGGTAACCCCTGTCCCCTATGGATAAGTCAGACCTGCGCATAAAACATATTCAAAGAAAAACTGATGAACAGGATATACAGTATTTTCTCTGTTAACCCATTCAGTGCCAATGACTGATTTTGACAGATTTTTTTATTCGCCCTGAGTGCCATTGATGGATTTTTCAGTTTTTTTGTTTTTCGCTCCTCCCCAACATGCAACTAAGTTTGGGGTTGTTCTGAACACAGGAAAGCCGACAAATACATCATAACCATGTTACAATAACAAATGGAAGTACTCGCCAGTGAGAGGTGTGCCATCAAGTGTGCCAATTAGCCTAGTTGAGGAGTGTTTTTTCCCTGTGAGGAGAGTAGGAAAATACTGAAGTCATTTGTCAAGAGCTAACAGTCTCAGCGCATTGGCTCCAGTGGGCGTGGTGCTACCGTCTCTGGATCCAGTGGAGTTCCCAACACTGGACCTTCACATTGTCAACAGACAATCAGAGAAACAATTTCCCGGCATGTTGTTGTGCCGCCGATGCCAGTACTACTAAGCAAGACTGAGCCGGAATTCAGGAACAGTCCCGGTGAGCAGTCCATGTGGTTTACGTCACAGTACTAGTGATGTCACGGCGTCAGAGTCTCGAGAGCCAATACGACTCCCAGTCGTCACGAAGTCATCACAATCGGATCTGGAGATTGATGAGGAGTGGTGTCCAGGAGAAAGGACATTAGCATAAACGGCTACCCACCCTCTATTTTCGTGTGCGCCGGTGAGGCGGCGGAGGGCAGCGAGCCCCGCGCAGTTGTATTTTCGTCTGGCGGAGCCCGGCGTAAGGCCAGTTCGGTATTTTCGTGGACTGAGCCACACGGAAGTGAGCCAAGATCCGCCAAGCTGGGCGTGGTGGCGTGGCAGGGGGAGGTGTCGACAGAATCAGCAGGCGCAGTGACATTTTCGTGCTCGCCACCGGCGTGTAAAGTGCGCTGAAAGCTCGCCGATTCAAACCTGGTCAGCTTTCAGCGCATGGCGGAGCGCAGCTGGTCTAGTAGTATTTTGGTAGACCGGCGGCGTATCGACATACGTCACTGATGCCTCACCGGCAGGTTTCCACAGTGTCAGGCACATTTCAGTGCAATAAATAATCATCAACTATTAATCTGAGTCAGCACATACATTTAGATCTATATAGATATATTCTGATCTATATCTGAACTGATGAGCACGTTTGGCACGCGTTTGGACACACAACCTGACCGAATCAACACAGCTGAAACCGCATCAAATTAAATTAAATATCTAGTAAATAATGATGAAGTTAACAAGATATGTAATTCATCTCCCTCCTTTTCTTTCTTCCTCTTCCTCTTATTTCTCGCACAGCTCGACCTGGACACGTCTCCGTGTCCTCTGTCCGTCTTGCTGCAGCAGCTGAACAGATGATTTGTTTCAGTGCTCAGATGTGTTATCTACTTTAAGCCGACATACGGATATTATGATATTCAGTTTTGGGGGCCAAATTTATTTTATATGCCAACATCTATGAAAGAAAGAGCCAGGCCACGGAGCGCGATGCATCATTTACGCACAGATGGTTCCGATTTTAATGCCATTTTTGGAGTTTATGTTGTGATCTGTGCGCTCAACCCACCTTTGTCACGTGAGGTTTGAATATGAGCAACTTTATGTGAGTGTCTTTATTTGTGGAAAAGGGTGTTTGTCTTACCACTGGGTCCAACATTACACACACCAAATCCATCTGTGCTCATATGAGAGAGTTTGGAGGACACTTGTTGAGGAGCTGCCCTCTGTCGCCATCTTGTGGCATTACTGTCTTAAGACATCTCTTGATCTCTCGGACTACTTAATGAAAATAGTAATACGCCTCGCCTGTGGCGGATTTAAAGGCAAGGAGAGGAGCTTATGTGATTGGTGAAAACAGGTCTCGGCTGTGTTAAACCCACTCCACGCCCTCTCTCCTCCCCGTCTACGACTTATGCTGCTGGGAGGAGCTGAGTTAGGGAGGGGGGATACTTTCGCCGGGCTGCGCAGCTCACCAAAATATCAAAATGTGCTTGGGAACGCCTTGTCAGCGCGGCGGATCTGACTGACGCTGCGCTTGCGGCACGTCTCCGGCGAGGCACGAAAATAGAGCCCTATGTATTCATGAGTCAACACTTGCATGAATAAAGCAAGTAGATGATTTTACTTGCACTTGGTGTGAAAGCCCCGTAAGATAACATGGCAAACTTGTCAAAACACATCAAATGTAAGCGCCATAAGGACAAAATATGAAAATACAGATATGTGGGCAACTCATATATATTCCAATGGATATCCAGCTAAATAGCACCAGGCTACAAGCTAACCTTACTTTCCACTTCTTTGATGGTGGCACTCCGGGAAAAATACAAAAATGTGATTGATTCCTTTAGGAAAGTGTCCAAGGATTTGGCCTGTTGTTATAATCATGGTTGGTGAAAAAAAATGAAATCCAAATACCAACCAAGCCTGTCGACATCATGCTTATGATCCATAAGGTATTATTAGTGTTTTGGTTTCAGGGATCAACACAACATGGGATACTGTGATATCAGTCCAAATTTTTGTGTCATGGCAACACTATGCTATTTTAAAGTTCTAAACCCATCAGTTGAGAATCACTGTTTTAGAGTCCTGTGCTGAGCTGTGTTGCCTCCTTGTGGTGTTACGTACTTGTTAAATCTCAGCCCCTCTCAGTCTGTTCCAGTTAATTTTGCTGTGTATTAATAAGGGATTTTCAACCTGGATTTCTTGTAGATTTTGAACATAAAAAGTCCTTTCAACAAGTTATTACTGGAGATGAAATGCATTGTGAAAATTACTCATGCAACTGTTCCAGATTTCTCACACTGAGCTGTGATGTGTGAGCAGAGCACATCTGTTGGTTATTGAACATCTGGAGTCATTTACATATTCATGAATAATTATGTAAATTTGAATGTCACACCCTTGAAATGTTAAAGACTGTAAATCTACCTGATCTAGAAACATGGCTGCTCTTCTTTCATTGTTTTTGACTCATTTTCATCTGAAAAGCTGAACAGTCAAAGGTCTCATGACTCAAGCTTTTTATCACATCAGCAGATTACAAAGGATCATTTAAATTCCCAGTTATATTCGGTGATTAAAGGGTGCAAATTTTGAGTTTAGTCCCATTTATGTTGCTTTTATGGAAATCTTTTGTACATTAAGAAAGATTTCCACAACATGTTTCAACTTGCACCCCCGAAAACAGGACGTTTCAGGTTGTTAAACATGAATTTTCTTTTAAACCCAAACTTGACTTTTTCCACTAAAATCCACAGATACTCAGACTCAGTGGACTCTGTGCAGCTTTCAGCTTTCTCCACAGTCCTAAACTGCAGCTGCACTGTTCCATCAGAGGGTTTAAGGGTTGAACGCTTGAAGATACTTTCTGATTCTCTTTCTATCACCTTTATTTTCTTGACTGTTGCTCAGGGCGAAACTTACATCATAATGTAAAGCTTCAATTATTCAGATATCATGAATACTGTATGACTCTGCTGAACTACAGAGTGAGTACACCTGACCTTTTGCAGAAGCATGTGATTCTGGTGTAAAGGTAATGACTTTCAATCCTATGACTGTCCCAAAGGTTTATCCTTCCTTTGACCATACATTTTAAACAAATTTCACTTTGCTCCAGTTTTTGCATTTTTTTTTAAGTCTGCATCTTTCTCTCTTTCTTTTTCTTTCTTTCTTTTGATTGTACCACTAACCTGCTATCACAGTAGTTTTATATTATAAGAGTCTTATGTAAGTACATCACTTGTATACCATCTCATATTTCATAAATGAACCTGTTATTTTAACATGTTCCTCACAGTTTAGATGACCAAAAATCAACATGTATATGTGCATATGATTAATAGTCTGTATGAGTCTGACTGGCTTTTGCATTTTTGTGCATTTCTTTGTGTGTAAAAAAACATTTTTAGACTTGTGCTTGTACACATTGGGCCTGATCAAGTAAAGGTCTGCAAACTTGATAGCGCACGCAAGGCTGATCTACTAACCGGGTGCACTGAGGATTGTGTATATCAAATGAGCAAACTAGCATGTGCAATCCAGTTAGCGTGTTTGCCTTCATGAATGTACAGAATGTATGTAAATCATCAGAACACACAAAATACTGGGAGGAGAAGATGTAAATGTAGGCTAATCATTTCGCACCTGCAATGTGATTTATCAAACCCTGGAACTGATTGAGTTTGGTGTTTTTGTGGCACTTCTATTTATCACATTTGAAAGGCAGGTGCAAACTGACACAGTGTTATGGTCAAATGGCTATGGTTATTGAGAGGAAGGCAGAAGTGCAATGAAAGATGAGAGAGTCCTCCGTGTGCATGTCAACATATTTGGACTGTCAGAAATAAGTCCTGCAAGTCCCGGAAAAAACAGAACCACACGGCCAAACATGAAAACAAAATCAACATCTCTGTTCCAGCAGCTTCAAAATGTCATCTCATGCAGCAATAATATCAGGAGAGTTCTCAGGGTGATTTCTACAAAAGCTAGAGAGGGGACTGCTTACTCTCCAGGGGCCTCATGTATCAACACTTGCGTGGAACTCATACCAGAAACGAGCGCACGCAAGGTCCGTCACGCTGAAAAAAATCCGTATGTATCAATGTGTGCGGGCGCCGAAATCCACGTGTGTTTCCTTGATAAATCCCAATCAGCGTGGAATTGAGCGCAGATGTCGGAGTGACTGGGCCCGTCCCCGTTACGCCCTCCTATAAATATGCAGATTTATTTAAATAGGGTCTCCCTGTCCTCGCACGCAGACAAAATGACAAGAAAAACTACATTTACGGCGTGCGAGGTGGAGGTGCTGGTGGCGGAGGTGGAGGAGCGACAGCGTGTTTTGTTTGGCAGCCTGTCCAGTGGCGTCAGTGCAAAACAAAAACGCTTGGAGTGGGAGAAAGTTTGCGAGAGGGTGAATGCGGTGGGTTCCGAGACACGCACCCCCGCGTCGGGATTCAGTCTATTTTTAGACGTGATTTATACTTCGCCCTTAACTTCATTTTTCAATAACTTTTTATGCAATAAACAACTGTAATGTGCATAACTGACCTCGAAATACTGGATTACATTACCTATGATACTGTGGAGAGAGATGTCCGCGGCGCTTCCGCTGGACCACCCGGACGCAGTGGAAGGGTCCTCGCGGAGGGGGTCCTGCAATCGCAGGAAGAAATCATCAGGGGGATCGCGGGGATCAACGAGCGGCTGGACCAGCTCGTAAATTTCCTCGAGCGTCTGGTGGAGAAAATAAATTAATTTGGCTCATTGAACTGTGTATTCACTTCTTACCCATTCACACTGTGGCGATGAGATTCTCCCGCGCGAGGACGGCGGCCCGGCAGGGATCAGCTCGCATCCCTCCGTCTGCTGCTGGTTCGTCATGTGGGGCGACGTGCTGCCCGGCCACGGGGATGTGGTGCACGCTTGTCACATAGTGAGTCACCAAACACCGCCACACAGCGTCGCCAAAGTGCGAATCACAGTCAACGCAAATATCCAGCTCAACGCCAATTTCTACACCACCTCCTGACTTTGCGTTGATTAGCGCTGGAACCGACGCTCGTTTCGCGATGATAAATCTGGACGTGTGCGCCGATTTTGGCGTACGCAAGGTTTTCTTGCGCCGCAAGCGTTGATACATGAGGCCCCTGGTTACATTGAGGCTTTGGACAATCCCTACATGATGTAAGCTCACACACAGCAGTGGATGCGTTGGAGATCACCAGGGATTTTACTGAGCTCGCTGACCCAACAGAGAGCAGGGGTGAGTCTCATATTGAGGTATACTGTTATAGTCGATGAGGTTTAACATACAGGTGTCCTAATACTGTGATGTAAAAGCGGTTATAAAGTTGTGTACGTGTGTGCATGCACGTGCACGTGTGTGGCAGTGCAGTGAGGGTGAGGAGGGCTCTCTTAATTTTGATTGTGTTCTGCCGTCCAGGAAACACACTGAATGTCTGCAAAAAGGACACCAAGCCTTTTTATTGTGCTGTACTGAGCTGTAAGGGCTGTGAATGCAGGATGCATGAATAACTGAGCAGCAGTAACAATAACAGAGATTGATCTCATTTCCATAGAAGAAAATCTGTTTCTGTGTTAAGAGTCCGGTTCAGTGTTCGTCTCTGTGCTCTGGACTCTGAGAGGTCAGACTTTAGGTAAATTGAAGAAGCTCACTTTATTCCCAGCACAGACCGATCCTCTAAATTCACTGCAGTGAATTCCTGATGTGTCCACAGATCTCCTGCTGAATTAGTCAACAGCACACGCACACACACACACACACACACACACACACACACACACACACACACACACACACACACACACACACACACACACACAGCAGAGAAAGGTGTCCAGTGTTTTAGGATTCAGACCATGATATTGAGAGAACTCAAGCTTAGTCAGTGAACTGGAGCAGAGAAATGACCCTGAAGGGGACCTGTAGTCCTCTGAAGCCTCTGGGGGGAACATCATTGGTCTGAACAAGAGCCCTCCTGCTCTCTCTGTTTGTTCTTCATTGTTGGTGTCTTCCATTCAGACAGCGATGCTGTTTCTTTAGACTCTGCTGCTGACAGAGAGACAGAAAACATCAACGATCGACATGAGCTTCTTCATCTGTCCCTCAGGCTCTAAATCTCTCAGCTGCTCTGCTCTTTCATTGGCTGTGGGTTTCAGCAGGGAGTGTGTGTTCACGTGACACTGGAACAGGTTTATCAGCAGGTGTCTGATCTCATTCAGCCTCACGTCCTTCTGAACACCCTCGCAGTCTGATGGAAACCCCTCCCTCCCTCCCTTCCTTTCTCCCTCCACGTCTGATACTTGAAACCTGGATAAGAATATCAGCACAGCCAGGAGGATGAATCCCAGCCTGATGGAAACAACACGAGCTCCACTTTCTCATCAATCAATTTGACAAGGCCAGGCACAGAACAGAGGCTTCAGGCAACCTGCTCCTCCCTTCGCCCTCCACCCCTCGATCACTCCTGAAAACATTGTATTTCTGTACACTGTAGCTCCACAAGCACGATGAAGGGTAAGGGAGGACAGGCAGATAGTGAGACGTGAGTAAGAGCTCTCTGAGGAGGATGTCAGTGACCTTGCAGAAAGGAAAGAAAAGGTTAAAGATGAGAGAAGCAGTGGCAAATCAGCCTGTGACCATGTTGACACTGTTGCATGCTGGGAATAGAGGAGTGTTGATCTGACTCTCAGCTTGTGGGTTGTGCTGCTGCTTTTGCTTTTCGTGGTGGTGAGACACAAACAACAGGACGAGCTCCATTATTTTCCCTGTGCCTTCTTGGAGCCTTGTGGGTTAAATTGTGGTCCCTGTTATTTATTCTTATACACTTTAGTCATACCTGAGGCCAACTAAATGTCACCCTGCGGCTCGATGGCTGCAGTTACCTCAGCTTACTTTCTTCAGTAACTCAGAGAGTTAAAATGTCAAACTGCTTTTACCTCAAATATCAACTCTAACTATGATCACTCTCATCAGAGTGATTTAGGTAGCACACATTTCTACATGAACTCAACTATGTTTACGCTGTGACTCCTGCACAAATGCACAGACAACCCTACATAGCCAACGACAGCCAGCCAACTTCTAAAGCACCATGTGCTGCAAGATACAACATTCTTGTTCTAATTCATCTAAGACCCCTTTTCAAACGGAAAACTGGAAAAGCACAGTTGCTGAATGGCAAATAGGACGTCATGGGGTTTCTACTTGATTTCCTTCATGATCTCTTGGAGGAGATTGTGCCCTCTGAACATAGCCTTTGTCCAAACAAGTGAATTCAGAAGGGTTCTTCACACTGGATAAATCAAATTATCCTGAGCAGAATCTCCCGTACTTATTCTCAGACAGGACTAATTACCCTGACACGATACCCAGAGCTTCCAAATCAGTGCATCAATTGGTGGAAAAGAACATGAGGCCTGGACTTACCTAATTGACCGTTGGTGACACAGTGCGAGTAAATTTTTGATCTACTCACACCAGTTATTTAATATTTTTTTGTTGCTGACAAATTTATGCTCCACACTTCAGTCCACGAGTTAGTGGTAATACAAAAATTAGCTGGTTTGCCAACCAACATTAACTCAAAAAACAAGAAGAAAGGAGACGAGAACAGAAAAAGAAGGCTGGTCAGTGTGTGTGAGAGCGGGGGTCAAATGACTACTGTGATAGGTTAATGTGTGTCCAAAGAGTCTTTGGAATTACCACGCGAATCCACAGATTTCACACAGCGGTATCCTTTGTAAACCTTGGACAATGGCAGCACCTTTGTCAAGTGGACCTTCAGTTCTTACTTTTTCCCAGTAAGAATAATGTTCCCAAGAAGACAAATCTTGAGAATGAGTCAGATTCAGATTGTGATGAAATGGTTGTGGTGAAAAAATCCAGGAAAATTTAGCTTTCGTGATGAGTGGCTGAGTGAGTTCACTTGGCTGAGGTATTTCAGGGAGACGAATGCAATGAACTGCAAATTCTGCTGTCGATACCCACAACATGCATGGAACACAAAATTTGCTGACAAGACTGGCACTACACAATTAAAACATGACACATAAATCAGACACAGTGCTAGTCTGAAACATAAAATCTGCCACCACTCGTGCAATGTCAGTGCAACTCCACTCCCAGTTGCATTTAGAAAACAAGAGGCTTGTTTTCTATCATATGTTTTTGTTAATTTAGTTGGCATATGACTTCTTGATTGACTAAAACCTAAACTATTGTTCTATTCTTTGTAGAACATCCTACATCTTGTACACATCATGCTTGCACTTCCAGTGTCCTCTGTTGTGTGCAAGAGAGGACTGTCTTCCCAGAGGAGGATCAAGTCAAATGTCAGGGGGTCACTTTACGTGGACAATCTTGAGGACTTAATCAGAATTAGCATAGAGGGACCAAGCATCTGTGAATTTGATGTCAAAGAGGCTGTTGACTTGTGGCTCAATCAGGCACAACATTCAAGGAGGCCTAATTACAAGGTCTGGCCTACACAGGCACCTTATCCCCCACCAAGGGGTGGTCTTTTCCAGACGTGTTCAGGCACAAGTTATGTGTCTACAACTTGTTTTGTTATTGTTAGTACAGCATAAATATTCACTTTGTTTTATTAAGCTGTATAACTTGTTTATGTTGTCAAAAACATTGCACAAGAAAATGTGAGTTTATAAGCTTGTAGTTTCTGCATATATTGTCAAAGTATTTATCAGTAACACAGTGAATATGATAGGAAAACATTGTAAGTTGATTTCAGTGTATGCTCCTAAAATTTCTGCTTGTGCCCCTAAAATTTTACGTTAGGGGCTACTGTACTCCTAGTAAAAAAAGTTAGTCTGAAGCCCTGTGACAGGGGTTGCTTGAAGAACTGGATGACCCAGATGGGCTCTTGGCATCATCCTTTTTCACAAATCAGGCTCTCTGTTATATGGAGGATAAAATCTTAACCCAAAGATAATTTCTTCAGGTGACCTGTCCTGCATATAAGCAAAGGACAAAACACCCATTTACAGAGCACTATACCTGACTCATGGGTTGCTGGATGCTCAGAGGGAATGTTTGTCTCTGTTGGGAGCACAAGTGGACTGCTTGGTTAGGCTAAAATTATCAAAAGACGGGTTGTGGGCGACAAGGCACCCTTCATCACTGAGTGCTTTCCAGTCTGGTGCTGGGAGCACTTCAGGTGCTGTGAGATAACAAGTGAATTTTCCACAGACCTTGAAGTTGCAGAGAAACTGAACAACCTTTACTCACTGGTGTTTTTACATCACTAAAGTTACCTTTCTTGTTTATGCTGTTTGTGAATCAATGATCTTATAACTTGTATTTAACATTAGTTTTTTGTTTTAGTGATACTTTTCTGATGAAGGGTCATGTTGATTTTTCACATATAATAAGCTTATATGCACAGCATGAGCCCTATTTAATTAACTAAACAGCAGGGTCTAACACATCTGACCCTACTTTTCCTGTCTAGGACCCTAAGGTTTGATTTAGTCACTTGATTATTCATGCATATGTTTTGAGTAAAATGTGGACCTGGCCAGTCAGTGTGTTTGCTCTAACTTTAGTCTTTCTACTGTGCCTCTGCAAACACAGAAAGCACACAGGTCGCTGTTTGAGTCACATAAAGACATAAATTAATGTGAAATCCTCTCATACTACCCCTCTGCACAGCAGTAATGATAAGTGACTTTTTAAATTAATGAATATGAGAACATCTATGCACGAGGATATTGCAGTGTAACTTTATAAATTTCTTCATTAATTACTATCTAGTAATATGATAACGTGTGTCTTGTGTACTTTACATCAAAGAAAGGGAGGCTGCTGATCTGTATTCTCTTCTTTTTCTGCATCACTTAGCTCTATTTGATGGGCTATTGCCTGTGTGGTGGAGGTGTCCATCAATATCCAGGACCAGCATGGTCAATGTCCCCCACAGATCTGTTTCAAGACTACATAAAATACCCCTTAGAGGTGTGTGTGTGTGTGTGTGTGTGTGTGTGTGTGTGTGTGTGTGTGTGTGTGTGTGTGTGTGTGTGTGTGTGTGTGTGTGTGTGTGTGTGTGTGTGTGTGTGTGTGTGTGTGTGTGTGTGTGTGTGTGTGTGTGTGTGTTTGTGTGTTTGTGTGTTTATACACCTAATTGAGAGCACATTCAGTGAAGCCTGGTGACCTCTAACAGCTGTGGTCAAGGGGAGAAAGCAGTGAGCAGTATCAAAGCAGACAAGTGAATCATCTCTGAGCCCTCTGACCAAGTAAAGAACTAAATTTCCCCATATCAGCAAAAACAGACATAATCATGAGTGAGAGTTCAGCTGTTAGAGTGCAAGTTCATACAGAGTGTAGAACTGACTTGTATGTCAGGCGAAAAATAGCTCTATCACTTGTTCTGTACGCTAAAACACTTAACACCACGACCACGACAGGGGCAAATGTCAGGGTGTCCTTACAAGTTTCAAGTACAGCAGGTGAACCGGGACTCCTCCAGCAAAAAAAAATTTAATTAAAATATTTTTCTGAGCTTAAACCACAGAGGCTTGACTTTGATTTGTTGCTGTCCTGGTATTCAAGAGACCAAGTTCAGCTCAAACCCAGGACTTCAGGAACAGTACTGGACCAGATTTGTCTGCTATTTGACCAAAAGTTAAGAGTGACAGGTCCTTCAAAATTTCCTCAGTGGTGAAGAGGTTGAAAAGTAAAGTATAGGGGGCGGCGCACAGAGTTGCAGCGGCCTGGAGCTCCCAACATTGGCACATATTTTTTTGTTATTTTGGTAGCACTTAGTATAATTTCAACAAGCTTTCAAATCACGACAATGAAGTACAGCCGAAACAAACTTCTAGAACTCAATGACGCTGCATTTCGTCAACTTCCAGCAGCATTCATCATCCCTGCCGAGATCACCAGATCAACATCCAGCACTCCCGGGGATGAGAAGCGGAGGAGGAGACGCTGTAAGCGGCTACATAAGAGGGGAAAACGCCGACCTCTCGAACGCCCGTTCGATCCGCTACAAGATGGACAAGATCCAACTGGAACTAGCTACACAAAAATGGATAAACAACTGCTGCAGCCTAATTTTCATGGAAACCTGGCTGGATAACATGACCCTGTCCTCGGCTATTGAGCTAGCCAGCCGCACTGCCTACCGAGTGGAAAGAACAGCTGACTCGGGTAAGAAGCTAGGAGGAGGTCTGTGTATCTATATCAATGACTTGTGGTGCACTAATGTCACGGTTATTTGCAAACATTGTTGCCCCGATGTGGAAGTTTTGCTGCTCAAATGTAGACTGTTCTATTTACCATGAGAATTCTCTGCTGTTTACATCTGTGCAGTTTACATACTACCCGATGCCAATGCTAAGCTAGCACGAGCCAGACTACAGGACATTGTAAACAAAAGCCTAGTGGCACATCCTGACAGTATCTTTATTGCGGTGGGGAATTTTAATCACGCCGACTTAAAGGCTGTACTTCACTCTTTCCATCCTAATGTGAAATGTGCTCTAGAGGGAGGAACACACTGGATCAGGTATACCAGGTATACCAACGTAGCCAAGGCTTACAGAACCCAGGCATACCCCCACCGGGTGTGACCATGTTTCACTCCTCCTACACCCTTGGTACACCCCCAAAATCAGGGCCAGTAGACCCGCAGTCAGGTCTGTTAGGATCTGGCCTGTGGATGCCATCCCTAGGCACCTGGACTGCTTCAGCTCCACCAACTGGGACATTTTCAGTGGACCAGGAGTGTTGTCACGTAGGTCCCTGAATATTTTCTCAGTCTCAGTCCTGGATTACTTCAACTTTTGTGTGGACATTGTTACATCTTGGAAGCAGATCTGTGTCTACCCCAATGTCAAGTCATGGTTGACACCTATGGTACAATTACTATTAAGAGCCAGGAATGCAGCATACATAACTGGTGACTCCAATGCATAAAGTGCAGCCAGAGCAGAGCTGAGGAACGGCATCAGATCTGCCAAGCTAGCGTATAAGACCCGCATTGAAGCTCAGTTCAACAGTGCCTCATGCCCCCGACAGGTGTGGGAGGGTGTTAGGGCGATAACGGACTACAAGGGCAGAACATCCCCCCCTATCACCATCTTAAACCTGTCTCTGGCCTCATCTTGGGTCCCAGCATGTCTCAAGGCAGCAACCATTGTCCCGGTTCCCAAGAAACAAAATGTCACAGGTCTGAATGACTACAGGCCCGTGGCACTCACCCCTACCTTTGCAAAATGTTTTGAGAGACTGGTCATGAAACACATTAAAACCTCCATACCACCGTCATTTGATCATAATCATTTCGCATACCGGAAGAACAGGTCGACAGAGGATGCCATTGCTATTGTGTTGCACACTCTACATCTTGAGCCCAGGAACATATATGGAAGGCTCCTCTTTGTTGGCTTTAGTTCAGCATTCAACACTATACTCCCAAACAAGCTACACAGAAAGCTACACAAACTTGGACTGAACACCACATTATGCAACTGGACTTTGGACTTTCTAACGGATCGCTCACAACATGTCAGGATTGGCAAGCACATCTCCCGCACCCTGCCCATGAACACCAGGTCCCCCCAGGGGTGTGTGCTCAGCCCACTTTTCTATACACTTTTCACCCATGACTGTTGTGCCCTCTCACCATCTAACCTCATTGTAAAATTTGCAGATGATACTACAGTACTTGGTCTCATCACTGGAAATGATGAGACATCATACAGGAGGGAAGTAGAGAGGTTGGTGGAATGGTGTGGAGATCACAACCTGGCTCTTAACACCACCAAGACCAAGGAGGTACTATCAATTTCCGTAGGGCCAGGCGCGCCATCCACGCTCCACTCCTAATCGGAGAGGAGGCGGTGGAGAGGGTGTCTACTTTCAAGTTCCTGGGCATGACTGTGGCTGATTACCTGTCCTGGGGGACCAACATCACCTCGGCTGTGAGTAAGGAACAACAACGCCTTTTCTACCTCAGGAAATTAAAGAGGGCAAAACTGCCACAGGGACTTAGGGTAAACTACCATGCCGCAGTAGAGAGCATGCTCACCTCCAGTCTACTGTTGTGGTTCTCCAGCTGCACCAAGGCAGACAAGGATGCACTCCACAGAGTGGTCAAGGCTGCGGAGAGGATCATTGGGAAGAGCCTCTCAGAGATCTTGGCAGTATTCACCTCCCGCTGCCTTTGCCGGGTGAACAACATCTTACTGGACCAGTTCCTCCAAGCACACCATCTTTTCCAGAGACTGCCCTCTGGTAGAAGATTCCAGTCCATCCGCTCCAAGACCAGCAGACTGACCAACAGCCTGTACCCTCATGCTGTCAGACTGCTCAACGAACAACCACCCCCCATCCCATCCCATTCCCAACATCCCTTGGTAACATAACTCCACCACCTCCATAACTACCATCAATAACTGTGACCTGGACTGCATTGCTGCACTTTACACTACTCACCATCTTATGATCTTATGCAGGAGCGAAAAGAGTCAGCTCAGCACTTTTAACCCATTTGATGTGGGGCATGAACCAAAGGAGGGGGAGCTCGTGCACCCATTCATTGTTCACAGCGGGGGCTGACCAGGCTGGCAAGAGAATTGATTTTAACTTGCGGGATTAATAAGCGAGTTGGGTCTAATTTACTCACTCACTATGATTAATGCTGTTTATCAAATCACATATGATATAGTTTCACTTCATAGTTTCTTATGAGCAGATGCATCAAACCATAACATTAAATGCAAGGTAAACTTTAATCACCCGTTTTCCTGGTAGTCTATAACCTGAGGATTAAGAAGCTCTTTGAAAGTTAGAGAGGGATGAAAACCAAGTTATCTTTCTGACAGAAACACCATCACGCATAAGAAACACATATGTGATAACACTCAATTGTAATATAAACTTGTCAATCTGTACTTAGTTAATGATTAAGATATATATTCTGATGAGGTAGACAGGCATAGCGTTAAAACGATCAAAACATTCTTAACTCATGTATAAAAGAGTTTTCAGTTACTACTTCTCATATTGCTAACCTACTTTGGGAAAACCATTCACTAAGCTACAAAGTATACACATGCAACATAATTAAATAAAGGAATGACCAGAATCAAATTCGGAGGACACCACTAGGGGGAGCTCTTGGTCCATCGAAAACCTGGAATAAATTTGTGAAGTTAGCAGTTTGGCTAACAGAGTCACTGCATTTCTTTGAGGGTTAATTAAAGATGAGAGAGCAGAAACCAGTTGTCTGCTACAAACTAAAACCTTCAAAAGGGAAAAATATAAAATAAAAAAACTAAAATATTCTGGTTGCATAAATATGCACACCCTTAAACTAATACTTTGTTGCAGCACCTTTGGCTTTTATTACAGCACTCAGTCTTTTTGGGTAGGAGCCTATTAGCATGGCACATCTTGATGTGGCAATATTTGCCCACTTTTCTTTGCAAAACCGCTCCAAATCTGACAGATTGCGAGGGCATCTCCTATGCACATCCCTCTTCAGATCACCCCACAAATGTTTGATGGGATTCAGGTCTGGACTTTGGCTCAGCCATTCCAAAGTCCCAGTCTTATTCTGGTGAAGCCATTCTTTTGTTGATTTAGATGTGTGCTTTGGGTCATTGTCACCCTGACTAAGGCATTTTCCCACATGTGTTTGGGAGATTTCAGATGTCTTTTTGCAAAATTAAGCCGGGCTTTGATGTTTTCCTTTGTAAGATAAGGCTTCTGTCTTGCCACCCTACCCCATAGCCCAGACATATGAAGAAGACAGGAGATTGTTGTCACATGTACTACACAGCCAGTACTTGCCAGAAATTTCTGCAGCTCCTTCAGTGTTGCGGTTGGCCTCTTGGTAGCCTCCCTGACCAGTTTTCCTCTCGTCTTGTCATCAATTTTGGACGGATGTCCTGTTCTTGGTAATGTCACCATTGTGCCATATTTTCTCTACTTGATGATAACGGTCTTCACTGCGTTCCATGGTATATTTAATTGTTTGGAAATTATTTTGTAGCATTCACCTGACTGATATCTTTGAATAACTAGAAAAGCACTCTGAGAGCGCAGACCTCTGCCAAGCAGCTCATGTCCCCCCTTATATTGTGATTCACACCAAAACTTTTACTGTTATGTGTCTTTTATTAACTTTTATTAGTGTTTAAAATGGTATGTTCACTGTTCATAACGTTCCTAAAACAAGAAATGCCCTGACCCAGATTCGAACCCAGGACCTTCTTGCTGTGAGGCGACAGTGCTAACCACTACACCACTGTGCTGCCCATCTATACCACCGAGCTGCCCATTGGTTATCTTTCAGCATTGAAAATTCCAACGACACCCTTATTTTTGTGTGTTCTGGATCACAGTATCTGGAATTTATCTGGATCCGAATCAACCTTTGACACCTCATAAAACTCATTGAGATCCTTTTGTGTAATATTTTACTAAAGACTCAGGGCAAATTTTGGAATTTTTGCATTTAACTCTATAAAAATGGCCAATCTCACAATGATAAAGAATCCTTCAAAAAATTCCTGGATCCAGAAGGCAATCCGGATCACCACCAAAATGTCATGGGATCATCCTGGGGCTGAGACGCACCTCTAGTGAAAATTTCAGGTCAATCCGTCTGTAACTTTCTCCGTAAAGTTGTTCACAGACAAACAAACATCTGAAAGTTGTGGGGGCACTCCTCTAAACTCAACTGCCACCCCGGATTTCAGCACACCCTCGAATTCCTTCAGCAGCGGTTCTGGTGGCCGGGGATGGTCCGGACGTAAGGGCGTTTGTTGCTGCCTGCTCCGTCTGTGCCCGAGGTAAAGCCTCCCACCAACCTCCGGCTGGCTTGCTGCATCCCCTGCCTGTGCCCTCACGCCCCTGGTCTCACATAGCCCTAGATTTTGTCACTGGTCTCTCCCCTTCTGAAGGTAACACAGTCATACTCACCATCATAGATAGATTTTCCAAGTGCATTATGTCCTGTTACCCAAGCTCCCATCTGCTCTAGAAACTGCTAAACTCCTAGTGTCTCATGTGTTCCACCTACATGGTATCCCCCTTGCCATAGTGTCAGATTGTGGACCCCCATTCTCCTCCCAGGTCTGGAAAGCTTTCTGCCAGGCAGTGGGCGCGGCAGCTAGCCTCTCCTCGGGCTACCACCCGCAGACCAACGGCCAGATGGAGCGGGCCAATCAAAACCTCGAGTCGGCCTTGCGGTGTGTGGTGGCCCATCATCCAGCATCCTGGAGTACTCACCTCCTGTGGATCCAGTACGCACATAACTCCCTCACCTCCTTGGCCACAGGTATGTCTCCCTTCATGTGCTGTTTTGGGTACCAGCCCCCCCTGTTTCCCGAACAGGAGCACCCGGTGGCTGTCCCGTTGGTGAGGGAGCTCATTGGGCGTCTACGGGAGGTGTGGAGATCCGCCAGGGCCGCACTCACCCGCACGGCCGAACGTAACAAATGCCTGGCTGATGTTCACCACTCTCCAGCACCAGACTATTGTCCCGGTCAGATGGTCTGGTTATCATCGCATGACCTTCCCCTGCAGACCGAGTCCCGCAAGCTGTCCCCCCGCTTCATTGGTCCCTTCCCTATCCAGAGAATTATCAACCCTTCAGCGGTAAGATTGAAACTTCCTTCATCCCTCAAAATTCACCCCACGTTTCATGTCTCCCTGATAAAGCCTGTCACCTTGTGCACCCTGAGCCCTCCTTCCGTCGCCCCTCTACCCCCCTGGTTGATTGACGACCACCCTGACTTCACTGTATGTGCTGCCTCGGGGACGAGGCTTCCAATACCTTGTGGATTGGGAGGGTTACGGGCCAGAGGAGCAGTCCTGGACCATCAATTCCTTGACGACCTCTGCGCCGCTTACCCCAACAAACCCAGCAGAACGCAAAGAGGTGTTCGTTGAGAGGGGGGTACTGTGGTGAGATGCCTGCTCCTTTTGTTTTATTTTGGTTGGACTTCCTGTGTTTCTTTGTTTGCCTGGCCTGGCGTGACTCTTCCAGAGCTCCCTCCCCTCCCCCGGTCGCTGAGGTTGAGTGAGTCTCCACAACTGCTCTACATCTGCAATCAAGGCACTTTAAGAAGCCAGCAGCCCTCAGTCTCAGCGTCTGAGTATTGTCTTCACTCCCAAGTGGTACAGACGTCTCTCCTGGCCTTCCTCAGATAATTACTTGCGACTTTTTACTCCCCGTGATCCCTTGTATGTCTTCTCACCTCCTTCTCCTCTGTTTTCTCTGCAGTGTCTCCAGCCCACAAAACAGCCAGCCAACAAACTGGACTTTTTCCTCGTGCTTTTTTTCCCTGAGTTGGACATTAAACACCTTTAATTTGCTATCTGCCTCTGTGTCTGCTTCTGGGTTCACAAAATACACTGCACACAACAAAAGTAGCCACATCCCCAGTTATAAAAGGGTGTGCACACTTCAGTAACCACATTATCTCAGTTGTTTATTTTTCTTCACCTCCCTGAAAGATTTTGGTTTGTTTTTCAATTGTGTTGTACGGATTATAGGTCACATTAAAGGCAGAAAAAGTTGTGAATTTATTTATCTTGATGTAACTTTTTTACATGACAAAACCTGGCATTTAAACAGGGGTGTGTAGACTTTTTATATCCACTGTATTCACTAATGTAGGTAATTGTAATATAAACATTATAGTTATTGCTCTCTAGCATGCCTTTTATTTCTGAAAAACCCATCACTATTATCTCTATTCTGCAGAAATATTTCAGCCAGTGTGGCACCAGAGTAAGGTGATGTTGCCTTGAGCTGATTCACTCACTGATAAATGGGTAATTATCTAATTGAGAAGTCTTTCAGCTCATCATACGATTTATTGAAAAAACAGGAAGACACTCTTTTCTTTGAATGGATGATCATGAGCTAAAGTGGGGAAAGCTACTGTAAAGTGGTGCTTCTGGACTTCTCTCCTTACTCTGTTGGGAGCAAAGTGGCCACATGCTTCATCTAGCACCATCCTCTTAATAATTTACTATCACACAATAAAATACCTTTCACAGCATTTTACCAGTGTATTTGCACTGGTGTTTGGGCTACGGCTTGTTTTATTGACTTAAAGACAGGCATGAAAACTTGGTCTTCTGGAGCAGATTTTACCGTAGTTGTCTGAAAAGCACAAAAGTTCAAAAGCTAACTTGGGGGACACCTTGCAGGCAGCTGGAGGCACAAACCTGTCACTCAAAGCTGCACTACTAATTAATAAATGACTTTAAAAGATTTGTACCCTTCAGAAAAATGGATCATGACCCCCGTAGAGCAGTCAAGAATTGGAGAGTTGCCTATGGAGACCAACACTCTGTGTCTGAATCTACTGTAACTTTGAATAATTGAAGATGAGGCCTCGAGGGGCTTTCTTTGTATTTGGAGCCAGCCCAGAGGAGAGGTTGAAAGTACTGCAGATTCTCTTTTTTCACACTCTAGCATTATTTTTTCAGCCCAGGAGGTTTGAGATTGATGCACACATGCAGGCTGTACCTGATCCACTTTCAGCACATCTCCACGAGAGTCTCCTCTGGACAGGTGCTGGGATTCTATCAGAGATTCAATGATGTTTTCTCATGTAAACACATCTTAGATATGTGCAGCCACAGATAGAAATGATCCAGAATGAGGCTGCTATCAGATGATATCAGATCCTATGTATGTAGTTTGGCTGCTGCAGGAGTAGAGCTGGTATAACCTGAGGGCGGAATGAGATGAAAGAACACTTGTGTAGCAGAAACTGAATCGCACAGAGTGGAGCGCTGCAGGTCTGCGAGCCCTGCTGCCCACAGATAATAAAATGCATATGGCTGCAGCAGAAATAGGGTAGAGGTAACTAAAGATTAGCCAGTGAACCAGCAGAGTCATAGGGTAGATGGTGAAAACAGGAAATTCATTCAGCACAGAGGGGCTGTGTAAGAGCAACAACTTCATCTGACCCTTTTTTAAAATGCATTATTCATCAGTATTAACTAACCATCTTCACACACATTTACACAAGGCTGCTGATGCTACTGGAATAATATTGGGGCTCAGTGAGTCCACTGACCAACCCTCTGATTACAAGGCAGAGACCACCAACTCTTTTACTGAGCCAATGCAGCCCCAAAATGAAACCAGAGTACTGAATACATGGCTACTATCACAGGGCAGCAATCTGCTTTACAGCACAAAGCAGAGCTAGTAATCCTCTCCTAATGTCTTTGTTTTAATAATTCAGATTCATTTATGGAGGCAGTCATCATTTTTATATCCCAGCATAAATGCAATTTGGTTTAATGGATAGTTGTTTAGATTTAGTATAATATACCAGCCTATCATTGGGGCAGGCATTGGCTCCATGAGAGCCGACAAGCATGCTCTGTAACTTCATGTCAGTTTTAAGCACCTCCAATTAATTCTTCTCTTTTCCCCCCTCATTTTTTTAGCAGTTTTTTCACAAGTAATAGAGTCCAGATGACAACAGTGGGTCAGGTAATATTTGACAGGTGTGTTAGAGCTGTTCTGCAAGTCATTCCCAACATGTGAGCTATTATAAACAGGTTTAGCACCAATGAAACTCTGTGAGTGTCATGATTACTCGGTTTTTGACATCCAGCCAAAATGATTTTGAAAACTCTGGTTTTGCATTTGCGTGTGGCCACAGCTTCTTTCAGTTTGTTGTTGATGAGAAAACTGAAAGAATGTATGTCGAAACAAAAGATCCAGGGATCGTTATGATAAACCGAACTGATACTATGAAACTCAAGTGTGCATTCGTTGCTAGAACAGTAACCAAAACAAAGCGAAAGCGACCAGCTATCTTAAAATATAGCAATTTCCACCAAAAATAGAATGGATGTCCTCCATGTTTTTTTGTTAACGCAGGGAGAAACGTGAAAGTCATGTGTTGTCTTTTTGTCACAGAAATGTTGGAAATATAAACAGATCTTGTATTATACTTTGAGCCTTGTGACGAGGATGATGACAAGGCCAACTCAATCTGCTCTCAGTTGCAGGATAACAAACTACCAAACAGTTACCAAAACAAAGTTAAAGCGACAAGCTATCTAAAAATATAGCTATTTCCACCAAAAATAGAATGGATGTCCTCCATGTCTTTTGTTAACACAGGGAGAAACGTGAAAGTCATGTGTTGTTTTTTTTTGTCACAGAAATGTTGGAAATATAAACAGATCTTGTATCATACCTTGAGTCTTGCGACAAGGATGATGACAAGACCAACTCAATCTGCTCTCAGTTGCAGGATCCTAAACTAAGGGCAACATTCTTGTTCCTGGATCATGCCCTGAAACTTCTGCACAATTTCCAGAAGCATCTACAGACGAACAGGGAAGCTGCCAGAGATGATCTGCTGCTCATTCTCAAAGAGGCCAATAGCCTGCTGGGTATCTACACCTCCTACTTCCTTCACCCTCAAGCTGCTGCCTGCTTCCTCAAAGGACACGATCCCCAGTTCCTTAAAAACAAGAAGTTCCACCTGCAGACCCCTGAGCTCAGTCTGGGTGGCAAAACTGTGGTAGACTTCCTGTAAGAGTCTGAGGCTGCAAACACACTGCTGTGGCTCACAGGGGAGATGTTGTCCTTCTATATTGTAGTCACAAGTTGCATTGCAGAGAAGCTGCCTCTTAGTAAGGGGGTGCTGAGGAGTAGCACAGCTGCTAAATCCTTAGAGCAGAGAGAAAGTGACGGGGAAAGCCGTAGAGAAGCTTGGGACCAAGCTAGGATTCTGCAAGTCCCCTGAGGAGGTCAGCCAGTCAACAAGTGAATTCCTTGAGTATTAGCTGGCAGAGGATGAAGAGAAGGAAAACCCAGAAGCAGCATCACTGGAGAAACACGGGGCCAGTATGCTGAAAGACACTAAGCTGTCTTTCATACTCAGAAAGCTGATTTTGACCCTGTTTTCTTTTCAACGACGCACGGACAACATCTCAATGCGTGGAGAATGTCATGACGAAATGTGTGTCATTTCTACTTTTTTTTTCCTGTATCCCTAGCAACAGCAGCGGCACGGCGAAAAAAAGGACCATCAGGAACAGGTAGCAGTCGCCTTTATTTGCGCTTTGGTGCTGGTACTGACTCATAACCAGTACTTGACACTATTGGCTCACCTTCTTATAATGCTTGCTGTCCTGATACTTTCTACCATCTACAAAGCACATTATGTTAATGTCTTTGGCCTCCCTGATAAAGTGGTCTGTTTCATCCTCACTCCAAAAGTGTGGTTTCATCTTTCATTTCTCCATTATCCTTTACTCAAAAGACCAAGATGGGTCTGGTAATATTTGACAGGAGTGTTAGAGCTGTTCTGCGAGTCGTTCCCAATATGTGAGCTATTGTCAACAGATTTAATGCCAATGAAACACTGTGAGTGTCATGATTACTCGGTTTTTGACATCCAGCCAAAATGATTTTGAAAACTCTGGTTTTGCATTTGCATGTGGCCACAGCTTCCTTTCAGTTTGTAGTTGATAGTGTCGGTAACTACCACCATAGCAACAACAAAATCGTACTATCGCTACAGTTTCGTTGAGAAAACTGAAAGAATGTATGTCGAAACGAAAGATCCAGGGATCGTTAGGATAAACCGAACCGAAACTATGAAACTCAAGTGTGCATTTGTTGCTTGAACAGTAACCAATACAAAGTTTAAGCGACAAGCTATCTAAAAATATAGCAATTTCCACCAAAAATAGAATGGATGTCCTCCATGTTTTTTGTTAACGCAGGGAGAAACGTGAAAGTCATGTGTTGTCTTTTTGTCACAGAAATGTTGGAAATATATACACAGATCTTGTATCATACTTTGAGTCTTGCGACAAGGATGATGACAAGGCCAACTCAATCTGCTCTCAGTTGCAGGATCCCAAACTAAGGGCAACATTATTGTTCCTAGATCATGCCCTGAAACTTCTGCACAATTTCCAGAAGCATCTACAGACAAACAGGGAAGCTGCCAGAGATGATCTGCTGCTCATTCTCAAAGAGGCCAATAGCCTGCTGGGTATCTACACCTCCTACTTCCTTCACCCTCAAGCTGCTGCCTGCTTCCTCAAAGGACACGATCCCCAGTTCCTTAAAAACAAGAAGTTCCACCTGCAGACCCCTGAGCTCAGTCTGGGTGGCAAAACTGTGGTAGACTTCCTGTAAGAGTCTGAGGCTGCAAACACACTGCTGTGGCTCACAGGGGAGATGTTGTCCTTCTATATTGTAGTCACAAGTTGCATTGCAGAGAAGCTGCCTCTTAGTAAGGGGGTGCTGAGGAGTAGCACAGCTGCTAAATCCTTAGAGCAGAGAGAAAGTGACAGGGAAAGCCGTAGAGAAGCTTGGGACCAAGCTAGAATTCTGCAAGTCCCCTGAGGAGGTCAGCCAGTCAACAAGTGAATTCCTTGAGAATCAGCTGGCAGAGGATGAAGAGAAGGAAAACCCAGAAGCAGCATCACTGGAGAAACACTGGGCCAGTATGCTGAAAGACACTAAGCTGTCTTTCATATTCAGAAAGCTGATTTTGACCCTGTTTTCTTTTCAACGACGCACGGACAACATCTCAATGCGTGGAGAATGTCATGACAAAATGCGTGTCATTTCTACTCTTTTTTCTGTATCCCTAGCAACAGCAGCGGCACGGCGAAAAAAAGGACCATCTGGAACAGGTAGCAGTCGCCTTTATTTGCGCTTTGGTGCTGGTACTGACCCATAACCAGTACTTGACACTATTGGCTCACCTTCTTATAATGCTTGCTGTCCTTGTCACGCCCTCTACTTCTAGGGCCAGATAGGGGCAGCCTCTCTTTTCTCTTCTCCCCCCTCCCTCTTCTCCTCCTCTCCCTCTCTCTAAGCAGGTGTTGGTGTGATGCAGCTTCAGGGCGGACAGGTGCAGCCAATTTCTAATCAGCGGATCGATCCGTGTGGCGGGGAGAGGAGCGCTCTCATTCATTCACCCGCTGCCATAAAAACCGGACACTTCCCACAACCCGACGCTGGACCGTAACCTGAAAATCCCTTGCCCACTCCGCCTGCTCTTCCCGCCTGCGTACCCAGCTCTCCTGCTTTCATCCCAGCTCCGTCCAGGACGCCGCCTCACGCCATCACCACCTGCCTCTCCCCCTCCAGTCGGAGATCACGGACTGCCTGCTCACTCGCTCTCTCGCTAGCTCTGGTAGTACCCGACCCTGTCTCGCGTTTTGCAGACAGCGTTTTTTGTTAATTGTTCTGACCCTGTCTCGCGTTTTGCAGACAGCGTTTTTTTGTTAATTGTTCTGACCCTGTCTCGCGTTTTTGCAGACAGCGCCTTTTGTTAATTATTACTGTTCCAGTCTCGCGTTTTGCAGACAGCGCTTTTGTTAATTATTACTGTTCCAGTCTCGCGTTTTTACAGACAGCGTTTTTTTTTGTTAATTATTACTGATCCTGTCTCGCGTTTTTCAGACAGCGCTTTTTGTTAATTGTTACTGCCCACCTTAGTTCCGTTTTCCTATTTCTGTTTGCATTTTTGGGATCAAATAAATATCTGTTTAACTGAACTGCTCTGTCTTGAGTCTCTTTGTCCGCATTTGAGCCTCGGTGCCTGAACCGTGACAGTCCTGATACTTTCTACCATCTACAAAGCACATTATGTTAATGTCTTTGGCCACCCTGATAAAGTGGTCTGTTTCATCCTCGCTCCAAAAGTGTGGTGTCATCTTTCATTTCTCCATTATCCTTTACTCAAAAGACCAAGATGGGTCTGGTAATATTTGACAGGAGTGTTAGAGCTGTTCTGCGAGTCGTTCCCAATATGTGAGCTATTGTCAACAGATTTAATGCCAATGAAACACTGTGAGTGTCATGATTACTCGGTTTTTGACATCCAGCCAAAATGATTTTGAAAACTCTGGTTTTGCATTTGCATGTGGCCACAGCTTCCTTTCAGTTTGTAGTTGATAGTGTCTGTAGCTACCGCCATAGCAACAACAAAATCGTACTATCGCTACAATTTCGTCGAGAAAACTGAAAGAATGTATGTCGAAACGAAAGATCCAGGGATCGTTAGGATAAACCGAACCGAAACTATGAAACTCAAGTGTGCATTTGTTGCTTGAACAGTAACCAATACAAAGTTTAAGCGACAAGCTATCTAAAAATATAGCAATTTCCACCAAAAATAGAATGGATGTCCTCCATGTTTTTTGTTAACGCAGGGAGAAACGTGAAAGTCATGTGTTGTCTTTTTGTCACAGAAATGTTGGAAATATATACACAGATCTTGTATCATACTTTGAGTCTTGCGACAAGGATGATGACAAGGCCAACTCAATCTGCTCTCAGTTGCAGGATCCCAAACTAAGGGCAACATTATTGTTCCTAGATCATGCCCTGAAACTTCTGCACAATTTCCAGAAGCATCTACAGACAAACAGGGAAGCTGCCAGAGATGATCTGCTGCTCATTCTCAAAGAGGCCAATAGCCTGCTGGGTATCTACACCTCCTACTTCCTTCACCCTCAAGCTGCTGCCTGCTTCCTCAAAGGACACGATCCCCAGTTCCTTAAAAACAAGAAGTTCCACCTGCAGACCCCTGAGCTCAGTCTGGGTGGCAAAACTGTGGTAGACTTCCTGTAAGAGTCTGAGGCTGCAAACACACTGCTGTGGCTCACAGGGGAGATGTTGTCCTTCTATATTGTAGTCACAAGTTGCATTGCAGAGAAGCTGCCTCTTAGTAAGGGGGTGCTGAGGAGTAGCACAGCTGCTAAATCCTTAGAGCAGAGAGAAAGTGACAGGGAAAGCCGTAGAGAAGCTTGGGACCAAGCTAGAATTCTGCAAGTCCCCTGAGGAGGTCAGCCAGTCAACAAGTGAATTCCTTGAGAATCAGCTGGCAGAGGATGAAGAGAAGGAAAACCCAGAAGCAGCATCACTGGAGAAACACTGGGCCAGTATGCTGAAAGACACTAAGCTGTCTTTCATATTCAGAAAGCTGATTTTGACCCTGTTTTCTTTTCAACGACGCACGGACAACATCTCAATGCGTGGAGAATGTCATGACAAAATGCGTGTCATTTCTACTCTTTTTTCTGTATCCCTAGCAACAGCAGCGGCACGGCGAAAAAAGGACCATCTGGAACAGGTAGCAGTCGCCTTTATTTGCGCTTTGGTGCTGGTACTGACCCATAACCAGTACTTGACACTATTGGCTCACCTTCTTATAATGCTTGCTGTCCTGATACTTTCTACCATCTACAAAGCACATTATGTTAATGTCTTTGGCCACCCTGATAAAGTGGTCTGTTTCATCCTCGCTCCAAAAGTGTGGTGTCATCTTTCATTTCTCCATTATCCTTTACTCAAAAGACCAAGATGGGTCTGGTAATATTTGACAGGAGTGTTAGAGCTGTTCTGCGAGTCGTTCCCAATATGTGAGCTATTGTCAACAGATTTAATGCCAATGAAACACTGTGAGTGTCATGATTACTCGGTTTTTGACATCCAGCCAAAATGATTTTGAAAACTCTGGTTTTGCATTTGCATGTGGCCACAGCTTCCTTTCAGTTTGTAGTTGATAGTGTCTGTAGCTACCGCCATAGCAACAACAAAATCTTACTATCGCTACAATTTCGTTGAGAAAACTGAAAGAATGTATGTCGAAACGAAAGATCCAGGGATCGTTAGGATAAACCGAACCGAAACTATGAAACTCAAGTGTGCCATTTGTTGCTTGAACAGTAACCAATACAAAGTTTAAGCGACAAGCTATCTAAAAATATAGCAATTTCCACCAAAAATAGAATGGATGTCCTCCATGTTTTTTGTTAACGCAGGGAGAAACGTGAAAGTCATGTGTTGTCTTTTTGTCACAGAAATGTTGGAAATATATACACAGATCTTGTATCATACTTTGAGTCTTGCGACAAGGATGATGACAAGGCCAACTCAATCTGCTCTCAGTTGCAGGATCCCAAACTAAGGGCAACATTATTGTTCCTAGATCATGCCCTGAAACTTCTGCACAATTTCCAGAAGCATCTACAGACAAACAGGGAAGCTGCCAGAGATGATCTGCTGCTCATTCTCAAAGAGGCCAATAGCCTGCTGGGTATCTACACCTCCTACTTCCTTCACCCTCAAGCTGCTGCCTGCTTCCTCAAAGGACACGATCCCCAGTTCCTTAAAAACAAGAAGTTCCACCTGCAGACCCCTGAGCTCAGTCTGGGTGGCAAAACTGTGGTAGACTTCCTGTAAGAGTCTGAGGCTGCAAACACACTGCTGTGGCTCACAGGGGAGATGTTGTCCTTCTATATTGTAGTCACAAGTTGCATTGCAGAGAAGCTGCCTCTTAGTAAGGGGGTGCTGAGGAGTAGCACAGCTGCTAAATCCTTAGAGCAGAGAGAAAGTGACAGGGAAAGCCGTAGAGAAGCTTGGGACCAAGCTAGAATTCTGCAAGTCCCCTGAGGAGGTCAGCCAGTCAACAAGTGAATTCCTTGAGAATCAGCTGGCAGAGGATGAAGAGAAGGAAAACCCAGAAGCAGCATCACTGGAGAAACACTGGGCCAGTATGCTGAAAGACACTAAGCTGTCTTTCATATTCAGAAAGCTGATTTTGACCCTGTTTTCTTTTCAACGACGCACGGACAACATCTCAATGCGTGGAGAATGTCATGACAAAATGCGTGTCATTTCTACTCTTTTTTCTGTATCCCTAGCAACAGCAGCGGCACGGCGAAAAAAAGGACCATCTGGAACAGGTAGCAGTCGCCTTTATTTGCGCTTTGGTGCTGGTACTGACCCATAACCAGTACTTGACACTATTGGCTCACCTTCTTATAATGCTTGCTGTCCTGATACTTTCTACCATCTACAAAGCACATTATGTTAATGTCTTTGGCCACCCTGATAAAGTGGTCTGTTTCATCCTCGCTCCAAAAGTGTGGTGTCATCTTTCATTTCTCCATTATCCTTTACTCAAAAGACCAAGATGGGTCTGGTAATATTTGACAGGAGTGTTAGAGCTGTTCTGCGAGTCGTTCCCAATATGTGAGCTATTGTCAACAGATTTAATGCCAATGAAACACTGTGAGTGTCATGATTACTCGGTTTTTGACATCCAGCCAAAATGATTTTGAAAACTCTGGTTTTGCATTTGCATGTGGCCACAGTTTCCTTTCAGTTTGTAGTTGATAGTGTCTGTAGCTACCACCATAGCAACAACAAAATCGTACTATCGCTACAATTTCGTTGAGAAAACTGAAAGAATGTATGTCGAAACGAAAGATCCAGGGATCGTTAGGATAAACCGAACCGAAACTATGAAACTCAAGTGTGCATTTGTTGCTTGAACAGTAACCAATACAAAGTTTAAGCGACAAGCTATCTAAAAATATAGCAATTTCCACCAAAAATAGAATGGATGTCCTCCATGTTTTTTGTTAACGCAGGGAGAAACGTGAAAGTCATGTGTTGTCTTTTTGTCACAGAAATGTTGGAAATATATACACAGATCTTGTATCATACTTTGAGTCTTGCGACAAGGATGATGACAAGGCCAACTCAATCTGCTCTCAGTTGCAGGATCCCAAACTAAGGGCAACATTATTGTTCCTAGATCATGCCCTGAAACTTCTGCACAATTTCCAGAAGCATCTACAGACAAACAGGGAAGCTGCCAGAGATGATCTGCTGCTCATTCTCAAAGAGGCCAATAGCCTGCTGGGTATCTACACCTCCTACTTCCTTCACCCTCAAGCTGCTGCCTGCTTCCTCAAAGGACACGATCCCCAGTTCCTTAAAAACAAGAAGTTCCACCTGCAGACCCCTGAGCTCAGTCTGGGTGGCAAAACTGTGGTAGACTTCCTGTAAGAGTCTGAGGCTGCAAACACACTGCTGTGGCTCACAGGGGAGATGTTGTCCTTCTATATTGTAGTCACAAGTTGCATTGCAGAGAAGCTGCCTCTTAGTAAGGGGGTGCTGAGGAGTAGCACAGCTGCTAAATCCTTAGAGCAGAGAGAAAGTGACAGGGAAAGCCGTAGAGAAGCTTGGGACCAAGCTAGAATTCTGCAAGTCCCCTGAGGAGGTCAGCCAGTCAACAAGTGAATTCCTTGAGTATCAGCTGGCAGAGGATGAAGAGAAGGAAAACCCAGAAGCAGCATCACTGGAGAAACACGGGGCCAGTATGCTGAAAGACACTAAGCTGTCTTTCATATTCAGAAAGCTGATTTTGACCCTGTTTTCTTTTCAACGACGCACGGACAACATCTCAATGCGTGGAGAATGTCATGACAAAATGCGTGTCATTTCTACTTCTTTTTTCTGTATCCCTAGCAACAGCAGCGGCACGGCGAAAAAAAGGACCATCAGGAACAGGTAGCAGTCGCCTTTATTTGCGCTTTGGTGCTGGTACTGACCCATAACCAGTACTTGACACTATTGGCTCACCTTCTTATAATGCTTGCTGTCCTGATACTTTCTACCATCTACAAAGCACATTATGTTAATGTCTTTGGCCACCCTGATAAAGTGGTCTGTTTCATCCTCGCTCCAAAAGTGTGGTGTCATCTTTCATTTCTCCATTATCCTTTACTCAAAAGACCAAGATGGGTCTGGTAATATTTGACAGGAGTGTTAGAGCTGCTCTGCAAGTCGTTCCCAATATGTGAGCTATTGTCAACAGATTTAATGCCAATGAAACACTGTGAGTGTCATGATTACTCGGTTTTTGACATCCAGCCAAAATGATTTTGAAAACTCTGGTTTTGCATTTGCATGTGGCCACAGTTTCCTTTCAGTTTGTAGTTGATAGTGTCGGTAACTACCACCATAGCAACAACAAAATCGTACTATCGCTACAGTTTCGTCGAGAAAACTGAAAGAATGTATGTCGAAACAAAAGATCCAGGGATCGTTAGGATAAACCGAACCGAAACTATGAAACTCAAGTGTGCATTTGTTGCTTGAACAGTAACCAATACAAAGCTAAAGTGACGAGCTATCTAAAAATATAGCAATTTCCACCAAAAATAGAATGGATGTCCTCCATGTTTTTTTGTTAACGCAGGGAGAAACGTGAAAGTCATGTGTTATCTTTTTGTCACAGAAATGTTGGAAATATATACACAGATCTTGTATCATACTTTGAGTCTTGCGACAAGGATGATGACAAGGCCAACTCAATCTGCTCTCAGTTGCAGGATCCCAAACTAAGGGCAACATTATTGTTCCTAGATCATGCCCTGAAACTTCTGCACAATTTCCAGAAGCATCTACAGACAAACAGGGAAGCTGCCAGAGATGATCTGCTGCTCATTCTCAAAGAGGCCAATAGCCTGCTGGGTATCTACACCTCCTACTTCCTTCACCCTCAAGCTTCTGCCTGCTTCCTCAAAGGACATGATCCCCAGTTCCTTAAAAACAAGAAGTTCCACCTGCAGACCCCTGAGCTCAGTCTGGGTGGCAAAACTGTGGTAGACTTCCTGTAAGAGTCTGAGGCTGCAAACACACTGCTGTGGCTCACAGGGGAGATGTTGTCCTTCTATATTGTAGTCACAAGTTGCATTGCAGAGAAGCTGCCTCTTAGTAAGGGGGTGCTGAGGAGTAGCACAGCTGCTAAATCCTTAGAGCAGAGAGAAAGTGACAGGGAAAGCCGTAGAGAAGCTTGGGACCAAGCTAGAATTCTGCAAGTCCCCTGAGGAGGTCAGCCAGTCAACAAGTGAATTCCTTGAGAATCAGCTGGCAGAGGATGAAGAGAAGGAAAACCCAGAAGCAGCATCACTGGAGAAACACTGGGCCAGTATGCTGAAAGACACTAAGCTGTCTTTCATATTCAGAAAGCTGATTTTGACCCTTTTTTCTTTTCAACGACGCACGGACAACATCTCAATGCGTGGAGAATGTCATGACAAAATGCGCGTCATTTCTACTTCTTTTTTCTGTATCCCTAGCAACAGCAGCGGCACGGCGAAAAAAAGGACCATCTGGAACAGGTAGCAGTCGCCTTTATTTGCGCTTTGGTGCTGGTACTGACCCATAACCAGTACTTGACACTATTGGCTCACCTTCTTATAATGCTTGCTGTCCTGATACTTTCTACCATCTACAAAGCACATTATGTTAATGTCTTTGGCCACCCTGATAAAGTGGTCTGTTTCATCCTCGCTCCAAAAGTGTGGTGTCATCTTTCATTTCTCCATTATCCTTTACTCAAAAGACCAAGATGGGTCTGGTAATATTTGACAGGAGTGTTAGAGCTGCTCTGCAAGTCGTTCCCAATATGTGAGCTATTGTCAACAGATTTAATGCCAATGAAACACTGTGAGTGTCATGATTACTTGGTTTTTGACATCCAGCCAAAATGATTTTGAAAACTCTGGTTTTGCATTTGCATGTGGCCACAGTTTCCTTTCAGTTTGTAGTTGATAGTGTCGGTAACTACCACCATAGCAACAACAAAATCGTACTATCGCTACAGTTTCGTCGAGAAAACTGAAAGAATGTATGTCGAAACAAAAGATCCAGGGATCTTTATGATAAACCGAACCGAAACTATGAAACTCAAGTGTGCATTCGTTGCTAGAACAGTCACCAATACAAAGCTAAAGTGACGAGCTATCTAAAAATATAGCAATTTCCACCAAAAATAGAATGGATGTCCGCCATGTTTTTTTGTTAACGCAGGGAGAAACGCGGCAGTCATGTGAGCTGATCCCTCTCAGATGAAAAAAACTCGAGGGGTATAAAAAAAAAGTGAAACAGACATTTGAAGAAATCCTCAAAACATAACTGAAAAGAATGATGTTTGTTTTGACACCAGAAATTCTAACCCACTGTGGGTTCTACCTTGCTGTGCATATTGTAAGAGTTATTGTTTTATTTCTTTTAGGGCTGCAAGATGACAAGTACAGCTGTTGTGGCTCTAAATATTGTTCATGGTAAGTCGAGTTACCATTATGTTTGAACCTGGCCAAACTACCAAAACTTCAGGGATGTGGAGCACATGGGCTCAGGTGGTTTACCAAAATGACAACAACTCATTCATTTTCTCCACACTTGTTTTAAAGGACCCCTGATGACTCTTTCATTTTCTTTTCTTGTCCCGTTTACCTCCCATTTATTTCTTATAAAAAACTCTTGTGTACACACAGACATTGTTTCTCCTTGCGCATCTAAAACAAAACAAAAAAAAAGAAAAGCTATTTTTTCCTTTGGCAAAAAACAACACTTTTCAAACAGTTTTCTAACATGCATTTGACCCTACAGGTGCCTCTCATTGCCAAATCACAGACTGGGTTATTCCCGGATCTGTTGACATGACCAAGATAAAGTTTAAAGCAAAAGATGAGGACGATTTAGGACACAACTTCCTCCTTGTTCAGTTTATTGTGGGGAAACGCTAGATAAGGATGAAACTGTCTCTTTGGTCCATCTTGGGTTTTTTTATGTTGGCACTTTCAGGCACTGCATCCGCTTCCTGAACACTCTTCCATCAGTGGGTGACGAGGAAGATAAGACAGCTTCAGCAGTGGTTGAAACCAAACAGAAAATTTAAGTTATCCACGGATAATCTTGTAGCTGTGTACTGCGATGTAATGGAGCAGCCTCAGAGACGATCTGCTCACAGCTTAGGGAACTCAACCCCAACTTCGTAGCCCTATGAGGGCTGTACACCATCATTGATGCTGCCTGTCATGCATTCATCAAGGAACCCTCCAATCAAGTTCAGGAGTTAAGGGGGTGCTGAGGAGTAGCACAGCTGCTGAATCCTTAGAGCAGAGAGAAGGTGACAGGGAAAGCCGTAGAGAAGCTTGGGACCAAGCTAGGATTCTGCAAGTCCCCTGAGGAGGTCAGCCAGTCAAAAAGTGAATTCCTTGAGTATCAGCTGGCAGAAGATGAAGAGAAGGAAAACCCAGAAGCAGCATCGCTGGAGAAACACTGGGTCAGTATGCTGAAAGACACTAAGCTGTCTTTTATATTCAGAAAGCTGATTCTGTTGTCTTTTCGACGACGCACGGACAACATCTCAATGCATGCAGAATGTCATGATGAAATGCGTGTCATTTCTACTTGTTTTTCCTGTATCCCTAGCAACAGCAGTGGCACGGCAAAAAAAAGGACCATCTGGAACAGGTAGCAGTCACCTTTATTTGCGCTTTGGTGCTGGTACTGACCCATAACCAGTACTTGACAATATTGGCTCACCTTCTTATAATGCTTGCTGTCCTGATACTTTCTACCATCTACAAAGCACATTATGTTAATGTCTTTGGCCTCCCTGATAAAGTGGTCTGTTTCATCCTCACTCCAAAAATGTGGTGTCGTCTTTCGTTTCTCCATTTTCCTTTACTCAAAAGACCAAGATTCCTTGCAAATAGAACATGTGCAGAACAAAAAATTTTATACATGCTTATAGGCTTATACATGACCAAATAGTTGGGTTAGAGGAGTAACTCAGGGGTGATTTTGGGGTTTTTAAAAACTGTAGTATGAGCATATTCTGGTTTTTCAAAATGGTTATTGGTGTTTACTTGGCCGTGCTTTACATGGTTATTGCTAAGATTCTGGGCATGAAAGGGTTAATGACTGCATGTAAACCTAGCCTTTGGTATGTTTATTGAAGGTGTGAAAGGGGGTTTAGCTGAATTGAATAAAAAGGTCAATTCATTGGATTCTTCCAACTTTGTAGATCTGGATGGCCATTATATGATGAAGTCATGTGAAGTCTGTCTCATGAAGATAAATGGTAAAAAAAAATAGTTATTTTATTTTTTTTTAACAAAAGAAGCTTTCACTATATAGAGGACAGGCTTTGTGCTTCATCAGAAAAAAGTAATTTATTTTTTGAAAATGTTAAGGAAATCTTGATCTAAGTTTGCATCACAGAGGAGCTGCCTCTAAGTAAGGGGGTGGCTGAGGAGTAGCACAGCTGCTGAATCCTTAGAGAAGAGAGAAAGTGACAGGGAAAGCCGTAGAGAAGCTTGGGACCAAGCTAGGATTCTGCAAGTCCCCTGAGGAGGTCGGCCAGTCAACAAGTGAAACCCTAAGCACTGGTTTCTATGCCCTTTTCTTCTCTTGATATATTGCTGAATTAGCAATTAAATATCTAGTTATATTACATACTCTTGAATGATTGGTTTTTATGTCTCCTTACAAAGATTTAAAGGATGAAAATGGCTATATTCATGGTGAAAATGGCACATTTTGGAAAGAGGTAACAGAGTTTTCCTTTCCTGAGATGTTAAACTGTCTAATCTACTACATCTGCAAGTTTTTCAGTCTTTAAGTTGAAGTTGAGGTAACAGTAATGTCTGGTATATGATCATAACTGCTGTCAGCTAGCAGAATAACCTTGGGTAGTAATAGCCTTCTTTTTCCTGACCTCTGACTCTGCTAGATATATATATATATATATATATGTATGTATGTATGTATGTATGCCTGCAATGACACAACTTCAGTAGATTACAGACCATTTCACTACCAATCATAAATATCTTTAATAGAGTGGTGATGAAACTGTATTGAAATGACAAAATAATGATTATGACAACAAGAGTCTAAGAAACACTGTATTATGCTGTGCAAATGAAAAAAAAGACAGCCGTTCTGCTTGAATATACTGTAATAGTGAAAAACGAAAAAAAGAAGATGGTTTGTGGCATATTTTATGGTTTGAAAATGACAGAAACTCAAAGTAAAGCTCTCTTTCCAAAGCCAATTTCTCAGAGTTTCACAGGATGATGAAATTCTCTGGTGGGGAAATGTGCCAGTCATGGAGACGATGTTTCATTTGAAGAAAGGAAAAAAACCCTGTCAGTTTTTGGAGGGTATAAACCGTGAATATGATCACAGACGGGTGTTGTATCTCGCCTCAAACACTTCTGGATGGATTCGGCTCACACCTCAAACTTTCCCTCTTCCTTCCTCCTCACGTTCTCCTGCCTGTGAGGAGTTTGGAGGAGTTCAGACTTTGTACAAGACCTGACATGCCAAACATTTTTTTCTTTAAATATATAGCCAACTTTTTTCACTCTGCTCATACAGGCCTTTTTATATAAGTTTTTACTGTTTATATAAAGTATTTACACATTTGACTTTCTGTCGAAAAGCTGTTTAAGAAGCTCCAGGAATCAATGAATATGTGACCAGTGGCCCCTACCATCAGTTTTTAACGTTACTCTCTTGACGTGGATGCCAGACAAAGGATTAAGTCGGAGAAGACGGAAAAAAGACGAGAAAGTAAGAGAGAGATGTAGGGCTCTATTTTCGTTCCTCGTCAACGACGTGGCATGGGCGAAGCGTCAGTCAGGTCCGCCGCGCCAACAAGGCGTGCCTTAGCACATTTTGGTATTTTGCTGAGCGGCACAGCCCAAGGTAAGTACCCCCTCTCTCTAACTTAGCTCCTCCCAGTGGCATAAGTCATAGAGAGGGCATGGAGTGGGTTTAACACAGCCGAGACCTGTTTTCGCCAATCAGAACCGCTCCTCTTCTAACCTTTAAATCTGCCACCGGCGAGGCGCATTACAATTTTTGTTAAGTAGTCAAAGACATCAAGAGATGTCTGAAGACAACAATGCCACACGATGGCGACAGAAGGCAGCCCTTCAACAAGTGTCGCTGTAAGCGCTGCAGAGGGCCTCCTGCATACTCTCTCAAATAAGCACAGAGGGATTTAGTTTATGTAAGGTTGGACACACTGGTAAGATTTATTGTTGTGTTTTGCATACTGTAAATGTTTTGTGTTTCTGTGTGTGTGTTTTTCTTTTCTTTATGTGGAACTTCTTGTGCTGCTATCCTGGCCAGGACTCCCTTGTAAAAGAGATTCTGAATCTCAATGGGTTTTATTTCCTGGTTAAATAAAGGTTACTAACTAACTAAACACCCTTTTCCACAAATAAAGACAATCACATCAAGTTGCATTTATTTAAACCTCACTTGACAAAGGAGGGTTGTGTGCACAGATCACAACATAAATTCCAATAATGGCATTAAAATCTGAACCACCTGTGCATGAAAGAGGTATCGCGCTCTGTGGCCTGGCTCTTTCTTTCATTGATGCTGGCATTTAAAATAAATTTGGCTCACAAAACTGAATATCATAATATTTGTATGTAGGCTTAAAGTAAATAACTCATCTGATCAATAAATAAATCATCCGTTCAGCTGCCGCAGCAGCAGCTGCAGCAGGACGGGGAGAGGACACGGACACATACCAGGTTGAGCTGTGAGAGAAATAAGAGAAAGAGGAAGATAGAAATAGGGGGGAGACAAATTATATATCTTGTTCACTTCATCATGTGTGCCTATTTACTAGATATTTAATTTAATTTAATTTAATTTAATTTAATTTAATGCAGTTTCAGCTGTGTTAATTCGGTCAGGATAAGTGTCTAAATGCGTGCCAAACGCGCTCATCAGATCAGATATAGATCAGAATATATCTATAGATCTAAATGTACACTGTGTGCACAGTTATTAGGCAAGTTGTATTCTTGAGGATAAATTTTATTTTTGAACTGCAGTGCTCTCGGTCAGCTCAAAATGTTAATAAACCTCAAACCTTAATATTTAAGGGAGTGAAAGTGAGATTTTGGCTTCCTTAGGGGAATATCTATGTGTGCACAATTATTGGGGGCAGCTATTAGTGTGCAGAATTATTATGCAACTAAATTAAAAATGAAAAATTTTCCATCTCACTTTATTTTCACTTGTTCAAGTGAGAATGATAAACAAACAACTCAATTTACAAATAAAAATTGTTGAAATTAAAAAAAAAAAAAATCAGTGACCAATGGAACTACCCTTCTTTTCATAAACAGTCATAAGCCTTTCATTCATGGAGTCTTTCAGTTTCTTGATCTGTTGACAATCAACTTTTTGTGTTGCAGTAACCAAAGCCTTCCACTGTTCCAGACACTGTTCAGAGAGGTGTACTGTCTTCCTTCACTGTAAATTTCCCGTTTAAGAAGGGCCCACAAGTTCTCAACAGGGTTTAGGTCAGGTGAAGAAGGAGGCCACGTCATTATTCTTTCATTTTTTAAGGCCTTTACTGGCGAGCCACATAGTGGAGTACTTTGTTGCATGCAATGGAGCATTGTCCTGCATAAAAATCATGGTTTTCTTGAAAGATGCAGACTTTTGCCTGTACCACTGCTTGAAGAAAGTGTCTTCTCAAAACTGGCAGTGGATTTGGGAGTTGATTTTAAGTCCATCTTCAACCTGAAAAGGTCCAGCTAGCTCATCTTTAATAATACCAGCCCATACCAGTGCCCCGCCTCCACCTTGCTGGTGTCTGATTTGAGGTGGAGCTCTGTGCCCATTACTGATCCAGCCACGGGCCCATCAATCTGGTCCGTCAAGAGTCACTCTCATCCCATCAGTCCATAAAACCTTTGGGCCAAGGAATATCTGAAGAGAGATTTTTCAGTCTTGACGTTTCAACTTGTGTGCTTTGTTCAGTGGTGGTCAGATTTCAGCCTTCCTTACCTTGGCCATGTCTCTGAGCACTGATCATTTTGTACTTCTGGGCACTCCAGGTAGGTTGCAGTTCTGGAATATGACAGCACCGGAGGATAAGCAGTTCCTGGTAGTTTTACGTTTGAGTCTTCTCAAATCTTTGGCAGTTAATTTGCGTCTTTTTTTCTTAACACGTTCTTGCGACCCTGTTGACTATTTGCATCAAAATGTTTGCTGGTTTTGTGATCACGCCCAAAAATCTAAGCAATTTCAAGAGTGCTGCATCCCTCTGAAAGACTTTTTACATTTTTTGACTTTTCAGAGTCACTTAAATCTCTTTTTTGGCCCATTTTACCTGAGGAAAAGAAGCTGCCTAATAATTATGCACACCTTGATATAGGGTGTTGATCTCCTTAGGCCCCAGCCTCCCTCATTACACTAATACACATTACCTGATATGCTTATATTCAATAAGCATTCAAGTTTATACAGCTTGGAGTTGGAAAATATGCATAAAAATGATGATATGATCAAAATGTTCACTTGCCTAATAATTGTGCACACAGTGTATGTGCCGACTCAGAATATTGGTTATTGCACTGAAACTTGCCTGGCACTGTGGAAACCTGTTGGTGAGGCATCGGTGATGTATGCGCACTGTGCTGCTGGTCTACCAAAATACCACTAGATACCAAGCTAGTGGTATTTTTAATACCAGCTGCACTCCGCCTGCACTGAAAGCTGACAAGGTTTGAATTGGCAAGCTTTCAGCACACTTTATATGCCGCTGGCAAGCACATAAATGTGACTGGGCCAGCTGATTTTGTCGACACCTCCTCCTGCCGCGCCACCACGCTCAGCTTGGCGGACCTTGTTGCGCCTCAGTCTACGAAAATACCAAACTGGCTGTGCGTCGGGCTCCTCCAGATGAAAACACCACTGCGCAGGGTGCGCCACCCTCTGCCGCACTGCCGGCAGGAACGAAAATAGAGTCCTAAATGCATCTGGACTTTGGAAATTTTGCAATGCCGCTGGTGTTTTATGGGTCGCTACCACGTCTTATTTCCCAGTCTAGCCTATGCTACACACAGCAGAAATAGTAGGTATGCAAGATGCCTCATTCATCAGTAATTTCTCTCTCTATGCTGCAAGGCTCTCAAGTGTCACGCATTGAGCGTGACAGTCACTCTTCTGAGTCTTTTGTCATGCACTCCTGCCACACTTTGTATTTCTCACGCTAAAAATATAAACATTTCTTTAGCATGCACCTCTAGCTACAGAACCGGCAGGAATCAAGCATGTCTCACATTAGAGCACCTGTGTCAGTACCGTCAGTCAAAAGAAGAAAGCTGCTTGTGATTGGCTATTGTGTAGCCAATCAGAAACAGAAACACTACTGTATCTGGGTAAATCAATGAACCAACCAATGAAAAATGCTCTCTTCTGCTACAACCAGCATTCCCTGAAAGTTTTATTTTCTTTGGAAACTGTGACTGGAAGAGCTACGAGCAACAGGGTGAGGAGTATGCAAACAGAGTAAGTCATAAATACTCACACACATCTGTGAACCATCATAGGTTGTTTGAATGATGAAAGTCAATAATAAAAATGTTTTTACTG